AGGGGACGAAGCTATTGAATATATAAGAACAAGGGTGACAGAAAAATTTCAACAAAGAAGTGCTTTATGCACCACAATAGACGAGGGTGAATCAAGTGGCGCAATGGCTCCATTTTCACAACAAGAGTGGGAAAGGGCTGAGAAAAGGGTTCCCAGTAGTACATCAACAGGCCCAGATGGCATTCCAATTAGGCTGATAAAGACATTAGGTCCGAAGTCTAAGCAGGCTTTGAGAGAGGCAGTGAGCACAATAATAATCGATGGTGAAGTTCCCGATAGATGGTAACTTAGCAGGATGAGCATGATCTATAAAGGAAAGGGGGACAAAGCTGACATAAACAACTACCGTCCTATAACAGTGACATCAGTGGTCTACAGGCTGGCGATGCAGATTATAAAGGAAAGACTGCAGGCATGGATAGAGGATAAGGGGGTGCTGGGGGAACTGCAGAATGGGTTTCGGAAACACAGGAGGTTGGAAGATAATCTGTTCTCACTGACGCAGTGCATCGAAATAGCAGAAAAGGAACACAGGCCCCTGTGGCTAGCATTTTTGGATATCAAGTGAGCGTACGAGAGCGTGGTTCAAGAGGAATTGTGGTGAATACTGGACACACTAGGCGTGGAACATGTAGTCACTAATCTTTTAAAGGATATCTATAAAGGTAGTAAGGTAGTTATAAAGTGGGAAAAACGGGTATCCAAGCCAGCAGAGGTAAAACCGGGGCTTAGGCAGGGGAGTCCCCTGTTACCCTTATTATTCATGATGTACCTACAAGGATTAGAGGCCAAATTAGAGGGAAGTGGACTGGGCTTCAACCTCTCTTTAGTCAAACAAGGAAAACTCGTTGATCAGGCACTGCCAGCATTAATGTACGCAGATGATATAGTGCTAATGGCCAACAATAAGGAAGATTTGCAGAGATTGATGGACATCTGCGGTAATGAGGGAGATAGGTTAGATTTTAGATTCAGTAAGGAAAAATCAGCAGTCATGATTTTCAATGACAACAAAGGTAGTGAGCTTAGAATACAGGAGGTCACGCTAGAGATAACAGATAAATACAAATATCTGGGCGTATGGATAAGCATTGGGACCGAGTATCTGAGGGAACACGAAATATACTGTGACGACTAAAGGTAACAGGATTGCAGCAGTCATGGGAAATAGGGCACTGTGGAATTACAATAGGTATGATGTTGTGAGAGGAATATGGAAAGGGGTCATGGTTCCTGGGCTGACGTTCGGCAATGCCGTCTTGTGCATGAGATCAGAAGTTCAAGCAAGATTAGAAATTAAGCAACGTGGAATAGGTAGGCTTGCTTTAGGAGCTCACGGGAATACACCAAATCGGGGAGTACAAAGTGATATGGGATGGACATCATTTGATGGCAGGGAAGCTAGCAGCAAGATTAAATTTGAGAAGCGATTGAGAGAAATGGGGAGGAGCGTTGGGCTAGGAAGGTTTTCAGCTACTTGTACATGAAGAATGTCGATACAAAATGGAGGAAGCGAACCAGGAAGTTGACTGGTAAATACTTAGAAAACGGCAGGTGGCCAAACCAAAAAGAACTTTCGGTTAAGAAGAAAGTGAACGAAACGGAGACTGACATGTGGAGAATGGGCATGATTAAGAAGTCCGCACTAGAGATCTATCGAACTTTTGAGCAGGAAATTGCCAAGGAAAGGATCTATGACAATACTCGGGGTAGTTCTCTACTGTTTGAGGCCAGGACGGGAGTACTGCGAACCAAGACATATCGGACCAAATACGAAGGGGTAGACACAGTATGCAGTGCGTGTGGAGAGGAAGAAGAAACTGCCGAACACTTGATAATGTTCTGTAAAGGGCTTCACCCTATAGTTCAGGATGATGGCGCAGAGTTTTTCAAAGCACTGGGGTTTAGGGACAGCGAGGGCAAAATAGACTTCAAGCGGGTAGACTTAACTAGAAGGAGGTTACCTGATTGGTGGCTAAAGTCAAAGCACGAGTGAAAATTAAACCCTTCACTGCGAAGTACGAATCCTCAGCTTCATTATTTAAAGGAAAAACAAGATAAATGTAATGGTTAGTTCACTAAGTATTACAGCTAGGTGGCGTTAGCCGCTGCCCGATCTAAAGGGTACAGCCACATCCATCCATCCATCCATCCATCCATCCATCCATCTTAGATGCGCTCGTTCCCCTCCGTTTCACGCTCGAGACACTCTAACGCAGCGCCTTCAGAATACCATTTACCGATTTTCTTGCGCAGAACATCAAATAAACGTTTTGCTCACTCTCTCCAGATGCAAGACTGTAGTCTTTCGACGACATTACAGTGTAACATGTAGGTTCTGGCCAATTTTTTATCTCTTCCTCTTTCATTAACCTCTCTTTGCTAGCAAATACATCAGTGGCGACTGAAATGCCCTGCTCAAGTAAAACAAAAGTAGCTTGTCTCAACTTGTGGATCGTAAGATAAAGAAAAAAAGGAGCGGGGGGAAGCAGAGTGCAACATCTCAAGGCCACGATCCACCTAGGCGGCTCCGTAGAGCCTTAGGCCTAATGAGTCTCTTAACAGTCAATATCCACCAAGCCTAGGTGGAGAAGAGCCAGCTACAAAGAAACATAAGCTCAGTAAAATAGCCCTACTTGCTCGTCGCCTACAGCAGTTTGCCAAGTGATCAGTGCCCACCGTCACAGACGGTGTCATGACGTCTTGGCGTCAAGTCACAAGACAAGAGAGGAACGGCGCCAGACTCCCTGAGCCAATGAGATAGAAGAATCTATTTATTGAAGTTCGGACTACGTATGAGGCTTCCGTACTTAGTCTACAATACACGTGCTCTAAGCCTTGCTCACATCAGGATGCAGACCACATGGTTTTTGTACGAACAACTCAACAACGTTCTTAAAAAAAAAAAAAAAAAAAAAAAAACTCAGCGTTCTGACACGTTCAAACAGGCCACCGTAACCCATCTCCTCGCTCTCAACAAAGCATACCACTGACGCTAGCAATGTAAGTCCCCGTGTACTCAGAATTGGGTGCACGTTAAAGAACCCCAGATGGTTGAAATTTCCGGAGCCCTCCACTACGGCGTCTCTCATAATTATATGGTGGTTTTGGGACGTTAAACCCCACTAATCAATCAATCAGCAATGTAAGTCCCCCCCTCCTAGGCCTACGCTATTTCGGCTAACAAAAGGCTGTCCCGAAATGCGAAAACTGTCGTCCGATGCTCCAAGAGCGCTACATTGGGCAGCACATATGGGATCTCGTAATGAGAGCCTGCTCTTGGAGTGAACAGACACAGCAGACGTGGTCGAAACGAACCAAACATCACATGTATTTATTCAATTACTTTTACATCGATGATTTCTTCAGCTGGATCAAAATAAATCACTAGTGATTAACACGCTAAAACAACCTTGCATAATATTTCAATACACTCAATCAGCAGAAGAACAAACACAAAATAATGTGAGGGCAGCATTGCCAAGACTCGACTCACCAGGACGGGCTCACGAGATACGGCCTGTGGTGCCGTCCCCACAGACCTGCTGCGGGTAAGCAACCATCACGCCAGCACACTTCAAAGAGGCTTGCTGCTCGCAAATCTTTTCTCTCCGGCCACCTAGCCTCGCCGCCAGGTGTCACTGCTGGTGCTACCGCGCTAACCTTGATGGTGATAAATGCTCTCAAGCAGAACGCACCTACCGCTTGAGTGTTGGGAACCTTAAATGTGGCCTATGCGCAAAACACATGTGCGCCACGAGGTGCAAACGACTTTACGGAGGTTGTTCGCACCCCCACACTGCTCAACACTCAAATCATCGGCTAATGTGTCAAATTTTGGAAAGCACGGATCTAACGACTGATTTATACAGTGGTAATCGCCTTTGTTATGCAAAAACACTTCTCTCTGTGGTTTCTTCACCATAGATCTTTTAACGTGGACATTGGCTACAACATTGTTATGGACACTAACACCAGTTATAGCATGGACATCTGATACGAGAACCATTACAGAGACGGGACACGATTTATTATGTCGAAGTATAGGTACACAGAATCAATAACCAAAATCCTCACTGAACTAAACTTGCCTGAGCTTTAATTGCGGCAAAAAGTGCCTAGATTAAAATTCATTCACTCAAAGAAACAAGGTTGCTTCAACTTTAACCCTCACAGATACATACAAAACAGACTGTCGCATACTTCACGATCTGTCAGATCGACCAATCCGGATCAATTTGTGCCCATACCCGCAAAGGACACCTTTAAATATTCCCACTTCCCGAAAACAATTCAAGAGTGGAACGTGCTACCACATAATATAACCAAAATTAACCCTTCAGAGGAATTCGAAAAACTTGTACTGGCCTATTATTCTTCGAGGTAACCGTATATAAGTGTTATTACCTTCCTTCTTTTTTTCCAGTGAAAGGCACCTTGTATGCATTGAAACCAGTTCAGATAACTATACATAATGATAAAAAAGTTCGTCATTTTGATGATTTTAATTTTTAAGCATGTGGAATAGTGTATGTGGAGTATGGTGTCTGCTATTGTTTTGCTCTCTGCTCAATGTTGGTCACTACTGTGTAAAACTTTAATACTTTTGTGCATTGTACTTTTGGTAAGAGTTGCTTTTCGTTTGCATTACAATTTGTATGGTCTCTATGATGTAGTTTTGTTTAAAGCTGTCAGATGCATTGTCTGTATTGATTTCACTGTGTAGTGCTGGTGCCTTTGAACAATGTGTGAAGAGTATTTCAGTACTCCACCCTGTATCGGCCTTTGGGTAACAGTATAAATAAATAAATAAATAAATAAATAAATAAATAAATAAATAAATAAATATATTACACAGTAACAAGGCAAGGCCAGAATCATCATTGCACGATGCACTAAGGACATGTTGTTCAAAAACAAATGCATGAGTGTTCATAAGATAAAAAAAAAAATAAAGAGGAGTGTAAGCAACCAGTAACAGTATTTCTGTGAATTTGCAGGACCAGTCAATTTTCGGTAGGTTGAAGTCACGTCCGGCTAAGAAGGACCAGTCAATTTTCGGTAGGTTAAAGTCACTTCTGGCTAAGACAGTAGCTTTTCAAGCACTCATCGCAGTATAAGCCTGACAAGCTGTTCATACTACGCACTCAGTGGGCAATAGTAGGAGCTGGTCACCATGCCTTTTCCGTTAGATCCTACAAAAAACTGCCTTGACATCAGAAATAGTGCACTTCAAGTGAATGCAAGGTGTCATCTTCATCGCCAGAATAAAAACACATCTATTGGGAGAGTTTCTATTGCATCGAAAGCAGGGGTAGCATGTCAGGAAGTTGTTGGAATCGAAAACAGAAGAATCTAACCACGACTCAGCGTCTAACACTATTTTAGGCTTAAGACTTCATAATAGACATTGAAATTTATGAACCTTATTTTTTGTGCTTTGGCAGTTTACCAATAAAACCCTTTAAGGCAGCCCTGTAGTATGTTTATGGGCCGGTCACAGCTGAACTACTTTGATTAAATTATTGACCTGAAAGTGGCTTCTCACTATGCTGCTTGTTCCTCTGCGTAGTCCCATAGCTTCTTTCTTTTTTCCCTGATTGAGTGAAAAATCTTCCTATATTGTAACTGGTGCCTTTGAGTTTGTAAGCATTCGAAAGCACTGATTGACTGTACTTATTTCATTTATATGTCTCTCTAGGGGGAAGGGGGTTGCGTACAGAAGTATCTTTGTTTTTAAAATAAATTTTGTTGCGAGTGTTGTGTCTATCTTGTCCCTTTTGTTTCTATAAAACTTGTGCTACTTCACCAAAAGGGGTAATGACCACCAGGGCATGTTTGCAGTATTCCTTGAAAGTTTGACACAGTGCATTATGACCTATGACATTCAAGTTCGAGTTGTATGAAAAGAAAAAGCAATATTAAAGCAGTCAAGGTAACCGGGCCAAGTTCCTAATCCTACTTAAAAGTTTGACAGAGTGTTACTCGTTATCACGGGCTCCGCTTGGACACAACCACTGCACCCGAGACGCACATGGGAGTTAAGTTGCCAGAGGTTGGGCCATGTGTCAGACTCGGACGTTGATTCCTCGTCATTCACTCTGGGATTGGGCTGCTTTGAAGGATAATGAGCCTTTTCTGTAAACTAGCCTGCGCATGCGCTGCAGCAGTGATGTAATGCACACTATGTTTTGGGGGAGTCACTGGGGGGCGACATCACTGATCTCTACTAGGGGGAGCTGGATGGCGCATTGAGCGTGTGCGTTTGAACTCATTTGAAAACGCCATTGGTATTTCGGTAGCCACCGCCATGAACTGTCATCTGTTGCGGGCGCGAGGGCTTTTTTCTTCTTTTTACGGAAATGCTGGCCTGTATAGAGCAGTGATCTTTATGAATAGACTGGAAATATCATCGGGAAGACATCTTGCACATAAGTACGTCAAAATTATATTCATTTTACGCATTCTGTGAGGAAATTGTGGCAGTTGACCGCCTTTTTTTTTTACCAGGAGCATGTTGAACGTGTTTGGCTTTTTGACATGCGGTTTCCCATGCTCGTGGCTTTAATTCTATGAGAACAGGGTCAGTAACTTTAAGAGGGACAAATGATCGCTGTCTCCAGAAAGCAGGCATTGCATTGACCGTTTGACAGGGTCATGTTCTGACGACTCGGCTCCCAAAACTCATCTTCGAGACAGTGCCATCGTAACATTGTTTTCTTTCCCGGATCACTGACAAAAGACAAACCTTAACGCTCCTGGCTACTATTGCGCTCATTCCTATTTTGTAAAAACATGCCATGACAATTTTTTCTTCGTCGCCTGACTAATAATTAATTGAAACATTGTAACAGCACTGCCCGTATTCGGTTGACGTTGCTATGACGTGTGTCATTTTTTGTGTTGCGTTGATTGGTGTTCCAAGTGATGCCTAATCGTAGAGTTTATTGCATACTCTAATTGTAGATTACAGCAGCCTACTGTATTCGAACGGCGTCGCTACGGCATCTGTTATTTTTCGTGTAGCATTGGATGATTGTGAGAATGTTATATTATAAAAAGAAAACTCAAAAATTATGATCGCAACAACTGCCACCAGATATTATTTGAATTACGTGTCTAAAACGACCAGAAAACACCAGCTTCCGAGACACCGAAGGGATCTTCCGGTGGCTTCACAAGTGCCCGCATGGGAGAGCGGGGATGCGTCATCCAGCCTTTTTAATCGAGGTGAATTAGTGACATTTCCAAGTTATCATGAAAGATATCTGGCCCCCGGGAGTTTCTACTACTGACAACTTTGTAAGCTACTGACCCCCAGTTTGGTTTCGGCAATCTTCACTGGAGGTGCTGTTCGGACCTGAAAAAGAGCCATTCACTGTGATTGTTAAGCTGGTGCCAGTCTATCCATTGGCGCATCAGTCGCAATGTTTAGCAACCTGGTGGGCCCATCAGAAATTCAGACATTTTGTTTCCATAAATTTAAGTGACGGCAATCCAGCATGCAGAAGGAGGTCCCAAAGTCGGAGACTGAATTGGGACCGCCACAAACATGGTAATGGACCTCTCGTCATCTATGATTTTCTCTTGGACATGAATCTCACATTTGTTAAATGTACACACAAACAAAGCAGATGCAGTTTGCACACTGGCCTTTGCAAGATGCCATTTTTGCTCTCAGTTGACTTGGAACAGCTCGGCTACTTGACTGTCCAGAACGGCGTTGTGCTGCATGGAAGCTGACGGCTAACTTGCTATTATGCACTACAATGACTTATATTCACTGATTTAAGGCTGCCACTTAACAACACACTATTTCAAATGAACATCTTGTAATACCAGTTACTATAACGAAGCTGATTAATTATGTGCTTCAGAAAGTGAAATGCACCTTTGCATAGCTTTTAACCAAAAGAAAAAAAATGAGTAAAAAAATATGCAGTAACTGTGTGAAACAAAGATGAAGTGAAAATTTTTACATATGAGTTATGCATATACTTGGTGGGAAGGGCTAAGTGCATTGCTTTTGTCATCCCCAAAAGGCCCCTGGAAGCACCTTCTCATTAGAAATTGTTGGCCTCCGAAAGCACTGGGAAAGGCATTTTTGGGTCAACTTAGGCCGTGTCATCCTAAATACGTACCAAGGTCTCTGAGAAATGTGCGAGGACGATTGTACCATTTGAGGACTGTTTTGGAACGCAATGTTGTCTGGAATATATCCTTGATATTCCAATCAGTTTTTCCTTAGCTTTAGTTTTATTAGTTACAAAGCATCGATTACATAACACTTGTATACAGATGAGGGCCCCAGAGCATAAATACTGAAAACGGGACCTTCAGTTAAAAACTACAGCAAAAGGGAATTGAAAACAATTGGCAGAATATTAGCAGGTGATAATAAGAAACTCGTACAAGGCAAAACGAGCAGTAACATGCAACAGTTGAAAAAAAAATGAAATAATACAAATCGCGTATATACTGCCTCTGTCAAGGATACATAGCATAATGGTCCAAAACATTTTGCAGCATTTGCTTAATTTAAGCAGCATGATAATTTATATATGCATCTGTGTTTCCTTCACCGTTGTATTGCTTTGTGTCGCCAGCTGTGCTTGACTGAGCAGAGCTCTATGGGAGGATTTGTGTGGCATTCTGTGCACACGCTAACTGATTACTTACATTTTAGCCATGATTTCGCATACTGTTTTAGTACTGCCAAAACTGTTTTATGTTCACTATATGAAGCCTTTATTTACTTCTGGTCACGGATCGTTGGATGTCATTTGTGATAGCTGTACCTTGATGATGGAGCACAATTGCAGCATTGAGCAAACATTTTGCATCATACTAGAGAAGCCTAACTGCTATCCACATAAAGGCACGTTACGGTTTAAAACATTCTTGTATAGCTTGCTCAAAAAATGTCTTCGTGTCCCTCGTGCAGTTCATAAAGAATGTCTGCCAAGGCGATCAATGAGGCTACGGGCAAGCGGCTTCTCAATGAGCACCTGGCACCGGGTGCGGCTGCTTCCTGCGAGTTCGCCGTCGTGAATCCCGATACCCGCTGGGACACCCTGTGCAACAGCCATCCATGGCTGGCCACACAGGCAAGTGCTGCAGGGAATGGTTTCATAACAGCTTTGCATTCCAAGTGGGCAGGGTTTGGTTCCTTGTGTTTCAAGTGCAGAGAACCTGTGTTCTCAGTATGGTTACCAACTCGTCAATGATATGGGAGTCAAGACAGGGGATTCTCTAACATATTGAGCCAAGGAAATCAGTTTTCTTTAATGCGGAATGTTCTAAAGGGACACCTTGTTTCTTCATTGTTACAGCCTCTTGATGTGCTTTTTCAGAAAGTGCTGCTCATAAGACTTCCTCTTGCTGAAGTATGTACACGGAAACGTTGTCCCACTCAACGCTGAAATTCAGCTAAATTTGCTAAGACCAATGCAGCCATCGTAACATTGCTTTGCGTATCTGATTTCGTGTTTTGTAGTGTATTGTTGGGTGTGGGCTGGATCACATAAAAATTTCTAACTAGATGGTCTGGACAAAGTGTGCTGGGCCCATTACTCTTTTTAATATACATTAACGACTTGCTCGATAACCTTTCATCCTCAGTTAGGTTGTTCGCAGATGATTGCATCATATACTGCAATATTCAATCTATTGACGATTATTCCGCTCTCCTAAATGACCTTAATCTAACCTACTGGTGGTGCGAAGCCTGGCAGATGTCCGTTAGCTTCTCTAAATGCAAGTTAATCTCATTCACTAGAAAGCGTACTAACTCATCTTTTCTCTATACTATTGATAATACCGTTGTTTCAGCCACACAATCATATAAATATCTTGGTGTTCACCTTTCATCAGACTTATCTTGGAATAGGCATATAGCAGCGGTCTCTTCAAAAGCCTTCCAGTCTCTCGGATATCTGCGCAGAAACTTATGCAACGCTCTTTCTAACGTACGCGCATTATCATACCTATGTTTATGCGCAATTAGAGTATGCATCATCCACATGGTCACCGCATCAAGATTTTCTAGTCCGTATATAGGAAGCCGTACAGAATAGGACAGCAAGATTCATAACTGATAACTACTACTATCATTCAAGCATCACCCTAATAAAACAAGAACTTGCAATAATGTCAATGGATCAGCACCACATAATCACACTTTTATGTTTATTTCATAGGTACATCTACAGTAACAAATGCTAGTGTTTGCCATTTGATGTCCCTTTGCGCACATCTCAACCACACATTCACAACGCACGTAGTTTCATGTGCATTCAAGGTCACACACTGGCATTTAACGCATCACCATTACCTCGAGCCATAGCACATTAGAACAGCCTTTCCTATCAAATCGTATCCATCTCTAACAGTGAATCTTTTCGTGATAACCTGCTTGCGTTGTGTTTTTTGACTGCATAACTTTGTTGTACCTTGCTGTTAGCATTTGTTTGCTTTTTTTGTTTGTTTCCTTGTTCTTTTCTTACTTTTTGTCTGTATTTTTTGCGAAGTATATACTGATGCCCCCCTTACTCATTGCCTTTTAATGGGTCTGTAAGGCATTTTGAATAAATAAATAAATAAAATACGGGACATATAGCTGCAGCAAGAGGGACATCTTGGGATTTGAGTAGTATGAAAAGCCGAGACAGTCCCAAGAAATTCGGGACGGTTGGTAGTGCACGGCAGTTCTAAGTCACCCGGAACAGCACCACTTTCAAAGCTAATCCAACTTCATTCACAGTGCCAAGCTTCACAGCCTACGAGTAGCCCCTGGTGGCATTGTGACTCGCTCAATTTCTTGGGCACTCGGTTTGTTGGGTAACAAATCAGGCATTAAGGCAATCACTCGTAATCTAGCAAACTGGTTATGTTCAAACTTCTGAGCCATGCTTGTGAGCCATGGCTTGATTGACTAGCACTTATCAAAGACTTAGTGGTGTGAAAGCATTATTGGCACAGTGGATTGGCCTTGCCAAGATTAGTAATCGTCAGGTAAGTTGTCACTAGACGGAAATCTCTTAAAATAAATTTGTGCATGAATTGGACCACCTTTGATTGAATTGGTTGTGTAAGTTTATTTTGCTGCCCCACGGCGGTGGTCTAGTGGCTAAGGTACCCGGCTTCTGACGTGCAGGTCACGAGATCGAATGCCGGCTGTGGAGGCTGCATTTTTGATGGAGGCGGAAGTGCTGTAGGCCCGTGTGCTCAGATTTGGGTGCACGTTAAAGAACCCCACGTTTCCGGAACCCTCCACTACGACATCTTTCATAATCAGATGGTGGTTCTTGAGCCCCTAAACCCTACATATCAATCAAATCAAGTTTACTTTGCTCCTCTGGTTATCTCTTGCCTGGTAAATAGAACACCTCTTAAGTGGAAAATATTTTTCTGCTCTCTTCTGGTTTTGTATAATGAGTTTAGTGTATATGTCTCACTGAATAGTTTGTCCTTTTGGCTGCTGCATTGTCACTGGAATGATGAAAAATCGCCAAACTAGGAATTTTTTAGACATTTCATCGTGAGGATTGAAGGTTGCTTAAGGAGAGGTGTCCATAGGTGTTACTTGTTTAACGAGTTAGCCATTCAAGCTCCTATTTTTTTTCCTGATTTTCTGTCTGGTTCAAATTGTCAAGGGAACGTTTGATTTTTGTGTTAGACATACCGAGGAAGAAGAAAAGGGGCAAGCCTCAACCTAACATTATTGCTGTTTGGTGTGCAGAAGCTTGTGGTGAAGCCCGATCAGCTGATCAAGCGTCGGGGCAAGCTGGGTCTGATCCATGTCAATGGCGACCTGAAGAGCGTGCAGGACTGGGTTCAGCAGCGCATGGACAAGGAGGTCGAGGTGGGTTTTACTGCTGTCTTACTTGACACCCTGAAAGCATTTAATGTTGGAGAGACAGGGCAGCTTATCTCTCGTTCATGAAGACTGTTGCCAGGTGCATAATATTAAGTTTGTTAAACTCTCTAGCACCCAAGGTAGCCTCTTGCAGACGAGCTGATTAAATTCAGACATTTTGTTTGCCAATTACTGTGGACTAGCTGTGGTTATCTATATGACAGTGTCCCAATTTCTTTTATCAAATACGATCTGAGCTAGTCCTTGTGCCTTGTCGTTATTCTGGCACTATCTCAGTCCAGGTGATACTGCAATGTTTTACTTAATTTCTACTTACATTATTCAATAAAGTAGATTGCTTTGAACGATTTCTTTTGGTTCACTTACAACAAAAAAAAAGGGGGGGGGGGGGCACGAGTGGTGAAGAATAATACGTAGCGCTATACTTAAAGTAAAGCTGTAACTTTGTGGTGAAGGTTTATACTGTAAATTTCAGTTATGCCAGTTGAGACAGAAGCTTTTTCGTTCTTGCATTATTGTATTTATTTACAAGGTTGTTGGAAAGATGTCTATTCAATTTGACTGTGAAGTGGTGTAAAGAATTCTGTAACCAAAAGCACACCGAGGGGTGTGCATCTTGGTGGTCATTTATCTTGAGGAGTTCAGGTGGTTGCACAGTTTAGCTCAGCAGTCATTGTTGCACTGTGAAACTAAATAAAAAAAAAGAATTTGGCCAACAACATAGATAATGTACGCCTGAACAGAGTTGATGCAGTCTCTTTTTTTCTTTTTTGTTATAATCACTCCTGATGTAATGTGTATGTGCAAGTGATAAGGTCACTCATTCGTCAGAAGGTTAATGTCCTATTATTGCTGGTATTCTTTGCAAAGAACAGAAATGAACAGAGTTATTTTTTTCCCCACAGATTAGTCTTTATGGACCTGTTGCTCCATGCTTATATGGATAAGGATGACGAGCTTGAATTTCACTCCAACAAACCTACATTTTGATCCCATTATCATAGTTGTGCTGTAGCCAAGGTCACAGAATACGTGTTAGCATTGAATACGTGAATGGTTTTCTCTGCTAAGTCATTGCCTATTGGTCGCCTCTGTCTCATTTCAGGTTGGACGAGCTAAAGGAAAACTACGTCACTTCATCATTGAACCCTTCTGCAAGCACTCCCAGGTTTGTCCTTCTATTGGGGTTGCCTGGTTATCATTTGCACAGTAAGCACTACTGATATAGTATTGAAGGGAGATTGCTGACTTTCATGATGGAACAAAGCACGCACTTTAGGCATAAATGTGTAGGTGCTTACCATTGAACCTCAGTTTGAGTTTTTATTTTTTCACTTTTTTTCTAGTTGTGGTTTACCTGTATTCGAATTCAAGAGTTGGTATTTGACATAATTGTGATGCGTACAAAGAGTGTATTTGATGTTCAAAGCGAATAATGATTTGGTCGAATAATTTCGAATCAAATACTTCGAAGCATATTATAAAAGAATGAGCATTGTTATTATGTTATAACTAATTTACGCATTTTTTTTTAATTAAAGCTCATGTAGGCGCAGCACTTTGTGAAATTGAAAATTGTTGCACAGTTAAATTTTATTCACAAATCTAACATTCCTTTTACTACACTCATGTTTTTGTGCAAAAATACCAGCTGCTCCACATGGTAATAGAGCAGAAGTTCGCTCCAGCTGCTGTTCAAAGCAGCTTCTAACTTCTTGCTTGTGTGGCAGGAATTGATAGGTGCCACCTTGGCCAGCTCAGGGTACAGTCGGCTGCCATGGGTCTTTCACCACTCCAAAATATTTTCTGACCGGGGAACTGCAGGGGCGCCAAGTATTCTGCCCCTTGAGAAGGGACACTCGTGTTCTTTCTCAGGGGGCAGTACATTAGAGGCCAATGAAGAAAAAACAAGAGTGCTAGCTGGAGGCTTCTCCATGGCTGGCCAGACAGGTGCCCAGGCACAATAATTTTGGGCTGGTATTAGCTCATTTGCTACAGCTGCAAATGTGGCTTCTGCCCGCCTTTTTTTATTGTCTTTAGTGTAGCAAATATTATTGTACCGAGGGTCAACTAGCATTGTATTTTCCGGAACATTTGCCATTTTCAAACCAGCAAACCTCGTGGCAAGACTGCGCAGAAGGCTCCTTGCAGGGGTGCAACAGCTGTGCCAATTGCGCCAATTTGATACAATTCTCCTTCGTTGGGCGGAGCTGCTCCAAAACCACGAAGTTTGCTGAAATTGCGCCATGCTGTGCCAAAATGCCCGACCAGCCTTAAAATTATCTCACGTGCGTTGGAGAAATGGAGGCCACATTGGTCACCCGCTTTTTGCCTCGTCAATCAAACCAAGCCGCAGACTCAAGTCATGTTTATTAAATAGTTCAGTTGAGTTACATGGTTAGCGTTATTACAGCAGGAGGTCCCAAAGTTTCAGAAAAACTGACAGGGGGACCTCCTATGGCTACATGGATGGGGTATAATTACAAAAATACAGCAATAGTATACGGCCTTGTGAGTAATAATGAATAATCTTGATTAACAATAAAAAAACTCTAACCTTTAAAGAAAGAAACTCTAACCTTTAAACATGGTGTAAGTTATATACTCGTTAGGTGAGGACACTCGCGAATTGCGATCGACCAGATAAATTATAAGGTGAAGATAAAGCATAAGGGGTATCAGCCCGCGGACCTGCCGATGCGCTCTTTGGTCCGCGCACCATAGCGGATACCTATCAGCGAGTTGATGAGACATAAAAAAAAAAAAAGTGTTGCCGTAGTTATCAATGATTTGGCGGGGGAAATATGAATTCCCCAATCATCTAACACGGGTTTGACATGTTAAAAACGTATGCGGCGTTTTCCCCTCGCTTACAAGGTCGATGTTTTGCGAACTTAGTCATTGCCAGCCGCCACGTTTCTTGCGATAGCAAGAAACGATGAAGCTCGTTGCGTCAATGTGTCTTCTGTGTGAAGCGTACGAGTCGTCGTCACTTGTTAAATGGCTGCTAGTGAAAACGTTGCAAAACTGTCTTGCTTCATTGTGCAGCAATCTGATGGAACACGAGCACAAATGCTATTGCACGTATTACTTGCTTAGAAAGGAGAGCGCAAACACCTGTGGTGGGAGCAGTAGCCGGAGCACATGCTGGAAACATCACCAGCTTGAAAAAAGTAACATGGGGTAAAGTTTACAGCTGATCTTTGTTCCTTCAGCATTCAGAGTTCCTCTCTGTGCGCAGAGAGGTGCGCAGCAATACGTCAGCCTTGGGATTATCAGCTAGTATACATATCATGTCGATACAACCTACGTATACATAAGCACACGCAGCCTGTGTGGACTGCACCGTGCCCGAATCTCTAACATGGCGGTATGCACACTCAGGCCAACAGATAGCAGCAATTTTTCATGAAGTCTATTGTAAATACCTAATTATGAGAAACAAAGGTCAAACTTTTATTTTAATTTCTCGCTTGATGTTCGGCATCTGAACCTCTGCCTGAACACCTTTGTTTGTTCTTTATTTATTATTTTCTTTATTTATACAAGTACCTGCAGCATCATGAGGGCATTGTTGCAGTGGGGAATTCAGGAAAAAATATGTATAATAGCAAAATATATGCAAATTCACATACAGAAATGAAAATGGGAGAAAGTGGTGGACTCTGCATAGAAACATTAGGCTTGTGCGAATACTGAATTTTAGGTTCGAAGCAAATTCGAAGCAAATAGTGATTTTGGTTGAATAATTTCAAACTGAATTCGAATAGTATGTATCACTTATAAAAAAATGGGAATATTTATCTTGATCTAACCTGCACATTATATTTTTCAATTGAAATAAGGGCTCTATGCAAATGTCATGTTTTTTTGCCGTTCAAAGGAAGTCGAAACAACCTTGAGTAGTAGGATGCTGGTGATAACCTGCAAAATATGTAACATTTTAAAAATTTATTGTGCTTAGAACATGTAAGCTGTCATAACAAGCTTTTATGCATAATAAAAAGATGAATTTATTTGAGGGTAACATCTTCATATAAAGGGGCCCTGTTACACTTTTTCTTTCAAGTAACCATAAAGCCATTAAAGAAGCTTATTGCCTCACGAATGCACTGCCACAAAATGTTTAGAAGCAGTTCAGTGTGAGTAGAGTTCCAAAGATTTGACGCACGCTGCAATTGCATTCTCTCTTCTCGCCCCGACAAAAGCGCTGGAAGCTAAGCAGAGAGCGGTTGCACGGGGAAAGAAAATATGTCACGTGTGCCTCGTGACTTTGGGCACTTTTTTTCTCTTATTTTTTCATGGAACACGCCGCCTTTTTAGTATAATAACGCATGTGCGCGTTGACAAGCGGCAGCTCCAGTAACGACTGAGGGCGCCATGCTCATGTCGGACACTGGCTGTAACAAGTGATTTTTAAGCTTGTAGTGTTGTTTGCCGAAAGAAGAGTGCAAGTTTTAGCAGACTTTGAGAATATATTGTGAATTTCAGGCCGCGTGCTGCGCTATAATATTTGCCTAGGCGTGTTCTCGGTAGCCTCGACTACTGGTCGGCAGCGTTTTCTGACCATGCTCAACAAGTGTTGTAGAGCCCCTTTAAATTTGAGGGGGGCTTTGTGGAAGAGTGGATCTTTCTTAAATAGGTGCTTTCATGGCTTAGCACCCCTACACTGCAGAGAAACCACATTTACAGGCAGTTACATGCGGACTAATATACACCTATTCGTTCACTACGAATACTGGTCGGCAGCGTGAAATTTTCAATAACTTAAGTTCAAATCGAAGCGAATTCGAATACTTTACTATTTGTTCATATATTCAAAGCATTCGTATATTTGCACAAACCTAAGAAAAATGGCAATCTTTGTAAACCAAGAAATAATTTTGAATGCAGGCACGATTTTGTCAAAAAAAAAAAAAGGAAACTAAACAAACAACATGAATAAATGTATCGGCAAAAGCAAGGAGACGGTTAATTTGTATCTCATGGGAGATATGAATGTAAAAATGATTGGAGTTGGAATAATGTTTCACAAACGGATATAATACCCCTTGGAAGTCTGTTCCAATACATGGAGGTGTGAGGAAAAAAAGAACAATGAAACACATTCGTTCGGCAGAGTATGTCGAAAACTTCACACTCATGATTATAACTTATGAAGATGAAGTGAGAAGGTAAATATACAAGTTTTTATTCACTCCTGTGAGATCAGAGTAAATTTGAAGAAAAAGTTCTCATTTAATGGTAAGGGAGCATTGAGACAGGGCTTTCCAACCGAGGTTGTCTTTAATTATTGAAATGCTGCTTTTATTGGTGAAATTACCAGTAACAGTCCTGGCTGCGCAATTTCAGAACCACTCAAGTTCATCAGTAAGGTATTTTGCCCGTGTTAGGTTCATGAAAATTCGTGAAGATTGCTATGTTAATTTTTTCGGTCATTAGAAGCACAATTCAATTTTTACCTGTGAAGGAACATGTAGGCTGTAGTGGATGCCATCATGGTGTCTCAATAAGCAGCAGTTTGCAGCTAAAGGAAGGATGTGTGACAAGGCAGGGCATATTCCTTGCAGGGTGAAGAGGCGTATGTGTGCATCTATTCTCATCGTAATGGTGACACCATCCTGTTCCACCACGAGGGAGGTGTTGACATTGGTGACGTGGACTCCAAGGTGAGTGCTGTGCCTTTGAAGCCGCTCCGGTGTGGACTGCTGCAGTATGGTCTGCACAGCTGAGGGAGAAACGGAAACCTCTTAATCGCTATAAATAATGGGCCTCTTTTGTGGCTCCTGTATCAAATGGGGGCTGCATATTTTACGTGTGCACTCAAGTGGTCATGTGTACATTCCTCATGCACTCATTATGATTAAATTGTGCAAAGGTGTTTTAAGCTTTCCAATCTTGGGGAATTCCAGAGGCTTTTCTAGAGTGCCACAAAAGCTCTTTTCTATCTATAGTCAAAGTCTGACATTTTAAACTCTTTTAAAAAACAGTACAAGAATCACTTTTATGCCTGGTATGTGGTATACTTCAATGTACACCCGTAAGCAAATGCGTACGAACCATTACTGTCCCTATAACTTTGCAGCCTGCTTCATTTAGTGGCGAGCAGTCTATAGCAGATAGCATTTTTTAACCAATCGTATTGCAGTAATGTTCTCATCAGCTATTTCATCAAAGCAATGGTCTCAACAGCTGATGGCTCGTGACTAGACAGCACAGACTGTGATCTTATACTTTTGCTCACGGGTATACAACTTTATAAAATTTACTGTGTTTTCATCCAGCTGCCATAGTCTAGTGGCTAAGGTATTAGGCTGCTGACCCGCAGGTCGCGGGATCGAATCCCGGCTGGAGTGGCTGCATTTTTGATGGAGACAAAAATGCTGTAGTCCTGTGTGCTCAGATTTGCGTGCATGTTAAAGAACCCCAGGTGGTCGAAATTTTTAGAGCCCTCCACTATCGTATCTCTTATAATCATATGGTGGTTTTCGAGCATAATTGACCATTGGGGACCGTTTGTGTCTGCTCTCTTTGCAGCTCAAGTGTGCTAGAAGATTTGCCGTGGATTTGGTCACGTGACATCTTAAAGATGATGCTATGTAAGGGCCTACAGGACTGGAGTGCTGCAATAAATTTGTGCCTCTTGTTGAAAGGAATGTGCCACATTGTTAAAAAGAGTGTGCCACTTTTTCAAGCCACAGTAGCCATGAGCAGCTGATTGGCTGCGTACAGTTCTTGTAGAGTGATTGCTTTGCAGGCCCTTCGACTGGAGGTTCCCATTGACCACAAGCCAAGTGCCGAAGAAGTGACCAAAACACTGCTCACCAAGCTGCCACAAGACAAGCAAAGGTCAGTTTGTCACTGCATCTGTGAGGGAGTAACGTTTGGTGGATTTCAGCCGGCACTTGTTCATCTTGCATGACTATGCTCGAAAAATTGTGATTGGATAGAATTGTTAATATGAGTCTGCTCTCATCTTGCATGCCATAAGTGGTCTGATCTCTGTGTCATTATGCTTGCAAGGTGCATTGCTGACATACCCTTTTTTTCTTACAGTCTGGTGGCTACATTCATCTGCTCATTGTATGACGTGTATGTGGACCTGTACTTCACTTATCTCGAGATCAACCCTTTGGGTGAGTGAACGTCATTGCCCGGTCACAGTGAAGCCAATGGGGAGGACAGCGGTCAGACAGCAGCTGTCTGGCTACTTTCTGCAAAGGTTCAAGTTAGAATTTCACTCATAACGAGTAGCGCTTGTATCACCTAGCTCGTAAATCAGTGGAATAACTAGTATGACTAAAAACGCTGTATATTCACTGAGAACAGAGGCGATGCAAGGATCCGCATGCATTGGAAGCAGAGTCCGTTCCCCTTGTTCCCATCACACCGAGGTGTCATGCCTTGTGAGACGTGTTGCGTAATGCTTTCCAGTGGTGACTGGCGGCCAGGTGTACATCCTCGACTTGGCAGCCAAGCTGGATGCCACGGCAGAGTTCGTGTGCAAGCAAAAGTGGGGCGACGTCACCTTCCCTCCACCCTTTGGTCGAGATGCCACCACAGAGGTCAGTGTGTGCCTCTTTGACCAATCTTGATTTCGACGACTCTCCCCATTTTCTCATTCACAAATTGGTTACAACGTTCGTAAAAAATTTATATATCAAAGGCAAACTGCTGGTACTCATTTTGAAAGGGCAGCACAGAGACACAGGAAAAAGAAAGTGCTCTTTGTCTCTGTTGTCTTTCTATGAACCCAAATCAAAGTACTGCTCGAGCAAACTGAGAGACTTGTTTGAAGTGCAGGCCTGCCACATGTTTGTCGATTTTGATATAGCCTATCATGTGAGCTCTTCCACCTGTAGATGTTCCATTGGTTTGACAGTGTGGGTGTCCTCAATGTCTGACAACGTGATGTCTGCCGTCTCGGCTGCGCAGGAGGCCTACATTGCAGAGTTGGATTCTAAGAGTGGTGCGTCTCTCAAGCTTACGGTGCTGAATGCGAAAGGACGCATCTGGACCATGGTTGCTGGAGGAGGTGCCTCAGTCATCTACAGGTGTGTCTGAAAAGAAGGTTTTGCTTTTTTGTAGCATCACCCTTTGGGTAAACACATACAAGAGCTTTCCATGGTTCTCTCACCCAACTTTATCTGCATTTTTTGCCATCATTTTCACGTGTTTATCTTTTTGTTGTTGTTGTTTCAGTAAACCGCATTGGTAGTTCGCACTTGTGGCGTCGTCTTTCCTAACCTAGTACACCTTGTAAGTGTAGCACAGTCCTGACTCTCAAAGGCAAGTCCCTACTTCTGCACCTAACCCTGCGACATTTTCTTGTGCCGAGAAATGAAGTTAAGGTTTAAAGGGTGCTCGTGCCACGTCATTTTCGAGATCCTGTCGAAATTGCTGTGAGGCCTTCAACACACTTGCGCCTGAATATTTTTGCAAATGCTGCATGGAATTGTGGCAGAAATTCTGGGATATGCTCAAGGTGACTGCAATTGAGAGAGACTGTGCTGATTATGGTGAGCGCATTTCTTTAAGGGGGGACGCGGCTTTGGGATCGCGAAAAATGGCAAAAAAATCGATTTTTTGAAACTCAACTTTTCAGTTTCTGGAACCCTTTTTCTATCTGGTTCCAAAACATCTACACTGAAAACCGCGCAGAAGTGCTTCAGGAAATTCGTTTCACCCACCTAGGTAGCAAAACTTTTTCTGGAAATGGCGAGAAAACGGCGATTTTCAACACATTATAGCTTCGCGATGCTTGTGCTGGGAGCCGGCTTCTTGGGCTCATCGGAAAGGGCATTTCTCCGTGTTTAACTTTTCCGCCTCAGCTGGCTCCTCCCTTTAACAACAAGCGATCAAAAAGCAAATGTTTGAAGGTCATTTTGAAGCCCTTGATTGGCCGTGGCCGCCATGTTGCCTCTGCTCGCCTCGCCATTGGCCCGATGCTCGCTCCGGGAGATCGTCGTCTGCTGCTTGTGCGTGGCGAGGATATGGCTCTCGAAAATCGCCACTTCGTGACGTGTTCACGGCTTGATAATCGCTCAAGATATAATTACGCTTTAGTTACGAGCAGTAAGCGGATGCGCGATCAGGTTACTACGAGCAGGCGCGGGGTCTACGAGTGCCGCGTGTTATCGGAGTCATCTTTAGCCCTAACTCCGCCGACAGTGAGACTGCGGGCAGGAACGACGCGCTAGCGCATTCGTGGCGACGTGCTTCTTCGCAAGAAACGAAGCTGTAAGCGGCGGCACGATCTGATTACTACGTGTGGCCGCACTGGATGCACGATCAGATTACTACGACCGGGCGCACGGCAGTCTACGAGTGCGGCACGTCATCGGAGTCCGCTTTAGCCCTAACTCCTCTGACAGCGAGACTGCGGACAGGAACGACACGCAAGCGCACTCTTGGCGATGTGCTTCTTTGCAAGGAATGTACCACATCACTTGCTAGCTCCTCTGAATCACGTACGGGCATTTTTCGCATCGGCAGCAGACAACACAGTCAAGCTCGTCACCCCCACCCCCTCTTCTCTGCCAAGGATTGCTCGGAACAGCGGCTAGCAGTTTGGCGCGTCGTCATTCGAAAATGCGATGCCAAGTGCAGTGCGCGCCAATTTTTGTCATCGTAGTTACACATTTCGCGCATCGTCATCGAATGCCGCCAACAAGTGCATTACGCGCTGGCTGCACTCTTCATGCGGCCGCGCTTCGTACAGTCATAGGGAGTGCTGCCAATAAGCTTTTGTGATGCGATTCAGACGTGCTTAGAGCCGTGCTTGATATCTTCACGAACGTCTATGAATGTTCTGAGGTTAATGAATTGCTATAGATTAGAGTTCCGCGACCGGCCGTATGATGATGCGTTTCACGGCTAGAGCGGCGAAAGAGCATGTATGAATCAGGGGCAGGAAGTTTTATATGCCCGTTTCGTGTCATTAATTATACTGCTAGAAATTCCTGTGCCACCAGTCTTCTGCCCATAACTTTGTTATTTGGAAAGAAGGCATAGACCGTCATGGTGTGATCCATTTTTCTGATGCAATAAACCTCTCTCCAAATAAAGAAAAGTTCAGTGAATATTTGTAATCAAGTACTTAATTATGGTAGTTACAACTTCAGCAGCGCAAAAAATGTGTAATAATTTCAGTATATGGTTTTATTCAATTACAATCTTTTCTGTCATACCTATGACACCCCTCCTTTATACAAAGAACTTGGTTTGAAATCCATACTTGTTCTTTGTAAATCATGAAAAGGAGTAAATCATGAAAAGATGTCAAATATTACAAGACAAACCTGAGATCACAATTTTTAGGTGTCAGACGTAAAGAAAAGTTGAAACTTTAAATGCAGCTTTCTCAATACGGTTGTTTTGACATTATGCTCAGCCCCTCCACATGGTTCAAAGAAGAAATAATTTGTATCGCTTCAAAATTTTTATGGAAGCACTGTGAGGTCATTCTTAGTGTCTGTGCCAAATATTCATCAATATCGAACGAGAAACAAAAAAGTTTATGAAAAAAAGCCTGTCGAAAACTTCGACAGGCTTTTTCTCACGAGTGTGTTGGACATTGTGCATTGCTCGTGGAAAGAGTAGCACGGGAGTGACTAGACCGATTTTTATTCTGTTTTATTTTTCCTTAATCCCTGAACACTGCTTGTGGGTACAGCAATCTTCAATTTCTGTTTTAAGGCCCTGTTATTTGTCTAGACGATGATTTGTCCGTGCCACTGTTTCTGACAATGTGTGTCGGCAGCCATGATGATCTCTAAAAAAAAAAAAAAAAAAAGAGAGAGAGAGAACTTATTAAAAAATTTTAGAGTGCCATACCCTGTAGCTTTTTTTTGAGTAAAGATCAACATCATTCGCAGCTTCCTGGCATGTTTTGTTGCAGCGCTAGGTTTTCCACGAGCAGACCATGTAATTGGACCATGTAGCATTATGTAACTTGAGAACTACTGAAGCTATCACGATGAAACTGCACATTTCCCTATTCGAGACACTTATGAGTATGCATGCCAAATTTCATTGCTGTAGGACAACAAATAAAAAGTTTTTCTTCAATGCCACCTCCCCCCTTAACTGCCAAGTTTTCTGAATTTCTGGTTAGCAGCTCATTCACATACCCAAAACATTGCTTGAAAGAGGAGCGTAAAATGAAAATGCCAGTGTCCAACTGCCAGTGTAAACAGAGCAGTGGCTTGAAGACCCTCAGTTGTTCTCTTGTGTTAGTTGAAAGTTCAAGCTGTTGTCAGCAACATGAGTGGAGCCTAAAAAAGTAATTACGATATGCTTTAAAAAAAAACAGTTTTGGTTTTGTGCCCTGATGTCGCAACATGGTATGAACTTCTCATGTGCTTCAGCAAGATACTGTGACATTTCTACGGCCACTTTGCACCATTGCTTCATCGGCGACACAGGGGTGGCCATTTTCGAAGTCTTGGTACTTTACACCATCACGACTTGCCAGGCTGCTTCATGAAGCCGCCAGAATTTCTACCCCACACTAGGGGTGTGGAAATAGTGAATTTATACCTGAATTCAATAGGCATCAAATTTCTATGTGACCAAACCGGACACGAATACAAAGCAAATGCTGTTTGAATGGTTTTTGAATAGTAAGACAACCATCGTCATACGTCTCGAGACTGGTATGATAACAATTTTTTTAAGACAGCCTGAAAATTCCTCAATCTTCTATTTGAAACAAGTAGTACTGACAAGCTTTAGCAAAAGACAAAAAATTACCACAGTTACTTTAACTAAGACAAGCTTCTATACAGCAGCAAATATGGCCTTCGATTTATTTTGTAACTGCCTAATGAAATACAGCAGTGACTTCAGTATGCAAAGTTGGACTCTGTGAACAGCTTTTAAATAATATTTAAACCTAAACATCAAGCAAGTTCCAGGCATTATCATTCTTAAGTATATTGTAGTGGTGCACTGGTGTCATATTAAATTATGTAGTAAATTACTGACGTTATTGCTATGGCAATAGTCAAGTTGCAATAAAAAATGCCTTCATCTTGTAATCATTATAGTATCGTTAGTCCCCTAATTACATGGGCTGGATGTATCTGGATAAACTCGAGACGAAAAGGTAATATTGGCCTGATCGTGTCAATGTTTAATTCATTTCAGCATTTTCTTTATTGCTTATTATTCAAAAGATGTTCGTAAAACATTCAGTGTGTTTAATATGCACTATTTCGTTCTGGTACTAAATTTAATAGAGCAATATGCTCCGCTGCGATAATCTAGTGGTTAAAGTACTCGGCTGCTGATCCGCAAGTCGCGGGATCGAATCCCGGCTGTGGCGGCTGCATTTTCGATGGAGGCGGAAATGCTGCAGGGCCGTGTGCTCAGATTTTGGCGCACGTTAAAGAACGCCAGGTGGTTGAAATTTCCGGAGTCCTCCACTACGACTTTTCTCATTATCATATGATGGTTTTGAGACGTGGAACCCGACATATTGATCAATCAATAGAGCAATATTTAATTTGTCATTTGAAATGTTCGAATATATGCTCACTCCTAACTGTCTACTGACAACAAGATATTGTCAGTGTTGGTAGGTGTGGAACGGGAAATTGACTTTACTATCAAAATAATAATACGCTCAAACCTCTACATAACGAACCCAGATAGAACAAAATACCGTTTCTAACAAAGTAAACGAAGATTAGTCTTGCAACAGATAAAGTGTTAGGAATAAACTTTTAAAATGAGTTTCTGGATATAATGAACCTATTTTCATGTAAGATGCAACTTCGTTATAATGATGTTTGAGTGTATACCTTATCAGCATTTGCTGAGATTCAGAGCTGTCTCTCTACACACCCTTCAAAAATGTTGTCAGATCAAGTTGTGATTCTAGCTTTGCGTGTGCAGTGACACAGTGTGTGACCTGGGCGGAGCAAGTGAGCTTGCCAACTATGGCGAGTACTCTGGTGCACCGACCGAGCAGCAGACGTACGAGTATGCCAAGGTCATCCTGGGCCTCATGACCCACTCGGAGAAGCACCCAGACGGTGAGCACACCCAGCATAAGGAACAGTGGGCATCACACACTGCCTTTTATGGCTTTGTCATAATGCATTGAATTCAGCGTGGTCTTCTGCTATCATTTGCTCGATTGTTGTGCATGTATATTGATAAACTTCGGTTTGGCACTAATGTGACGAATGATGGCAAATTCTGTAAAAAGGATATAAGCGGACAAGTTTGCAACAATGAGAAGGTTACCATGACCTGCTCTAGCTATTGCCTAAAGCTTTTGCTGTGAACTGTTTTCCTTTTAGGAGTGAAGCTCCTTAGGGCCGGTGCACCCTGCCGTTGCAGCTGCTGTCGAAGGTCCCCGCCACATCACCGCTTGCACCCCTCTCCCATCTTTCTCTCTTTTTTCGTTTCAGCCCTCCCCCCTCGAACCAGCGAACGTAGGAAACCATCACTTTGCCTCGTTGTCTTGGTACATTGCCAGTTGGTACATTGCGTTAGACTTCTTACACAGATGCTCACACAGGAAGAGAAGCTTACTAGACAAACGGCCCTATTCTGGGGTGTAGTATTTAACAATGTTTTTAATCTGGATTGTATGCTTGAGTATGGTGTGTAGAGTGACCCGATTATTATTGAGCACAGTGCTGTCAAAAAAGTTGGCCATCCTTGAACTGCAGGCAAGGTGCTCATCATTGGGGGTGGCATAGCCAACTTCACCAATGTGGCGGCCACCTTTAAGGGCATCGTGAAGGCCCTGCAGGAGTTTAGGGAGCGCCTGGTGGAGCACAGAGTGTCGGTGTTTGTGCGTCGGGCGGGCCCCAACTACCAGGAAGGGCTGCGCGTCATGAAGGAAGTCGGCCGCACCCTGGGCGTGCCAGTGCACGTCTTTGGCCCCGAGACCCACATGACGGCCATCGTGGCCATGGCCATGGGACGACGCGAGGTGCCCGACATGCCCGAGCCGAACGTCACCACTGCAAACTTTCTGCTGCCCGGTGGCATGAAGGTACGTGGCTTTATATGCTCTGTTTAGCCATAATGCATTAATCAAATTACTAATTAGAAGCTCACAGGTAGCTTGCATACTTACTTGAGTAAGTTTGTGCTGCCACATAATAGGCCGAACGAAATTACGAAGTGGATCACACAAACTTGCAGCAATAAATCGCTCTGTTGCGAGTCGATGGATGTTTACTTAAAATAAAGGCCACGTAAGTAACATTTTAGAATGCATACCAGTGAAGAACAGGCATGCTTGGGATTCACGGGGTCGTGACCGCGTCACGGTGTGTCACGGGGTCGTGACGTGGCCGAAGACAGGAGACTTTATGTTTGGATTTAACTGTTTATTTGGGCGAACCTGTGCCCGGTAAATGGAAAGTTCGATTACAGTAGCAGTCTTGGACTGATAGCGGCGAACGGAGCGTCGGCCATCGATCAACTACTGACAAGCGGCGAAGCGCATCGGCATTTACACTCTTGCCATCGAATGTTCTAGCATTATCGCTGGCGGTGGCGTAGGTTCCAGAATAATCTGTGCAGTTTGCAGAGTGGGCATGATCTTATCGAAATGATCTACTACAGTCCGGAAGCTTCTCGAAAACTGCAGGTGCGGTTTGCCCTGAGAATTGTGTAGTGTTTTGGGACGATAACAAAACTTGGGAAATGGAACGTGGCAATATGCAAACAATGTACGTACTGCGCATAGTCTCAGCACAGGTGTCCGGAACACAGCAGCTGTCAAGTGCTGGCTAATACATACATCTAGGTGCACGAAACCTTTGCTGATGTAATACTGCTATTGTTCCTGTACTTCTGTAGCTTGAGATGCCTCAACACCTCGTTCACAGTACTTGGCAAGCTGTCTGTAGTGGATATTAACATACCCGTGCACCTTTCCCAACCAGAGTAGCGCTACTGTTTTTCTGCTTTGTCCTGCCACCATAAGTGTGTCATTTACCAGTCTTCTACATGTTCGCACTTTGCCTAAAATTAAATGAGAAATGCTTTCCTATGCATACCAACCTCAAGCTTTACAATTAAAATTGTCGAAAAAAAGGCTTGGATGGCATTTAAATTCCCACTTCTGGCAGGGTGCTGTCGTGGTTTCGATGGGGGAGACACCTGAAGGCCCGAACGGAAAGCTTGCACTATGCCACTGGCTTAATAGCACTATTATCGCTTCTAGTTTTGTCCCTGTTCACATGTCATTCTTTGGTGTAGCCACAGAACGGACACAATGTACACTTACATGCTGTATTTGGCTTGGCTTGGGTTCGATTGGGGCTCTATGTATTCATAGTACAGTATAACCTCGTTACAATGAATCTGCTTACAACAAACTTTTGGATAGTGCATATTAATTGGCATTGTTATGCCGATCTCCCTGTCTGTTTCATTGTCTGTTTCACTGTGGATTCTAGTGCAACGGTTACTTAGATATAATAGACTAAAATGTGAGGCCAGCAAGGTGGTCCTCTTTACAGTGAACTTTTCTATCACGGATGCCCCAGATTCATCAACTTCCCGCTCGAACATAAGGGATGGGAACGGCGTGCCGTGGATACCGATATACATATCTAAGAACAAAGACTGCCTATCTGTGGTTTATAATGGTCAGTTATGCCCTACTAAGGCGACGAAGATATTGCCCGCTGCATGCTTGGTCTAGCGCTTTGGGGCGCTGACGTGTGAAATTGCAACCCGCTGCTCTGAGCGGTTGCTGCAGACAGAGATTGGCCGGGGGGTCTGCCGCCAATACGCAAACTGCCTATTCGGGATTCTGAAGAGCCAGGAGGCGATGTAATTCGTCATTTTTGATGAAACAAATTACGGCTGCTCCGCTTTTGCATGTTCGCTAACACGATGGTCTTGCTCAGAAAGGTCTCGGTGAAGTTAGGCCTAGCCATGACTTCGAGCAGAAGCTTCTCTTTCAACGTGCATGGCCGCGGTGCACGATATTTCAAAGTACATCATGCTCGATTGGGAATATGAAGAGTTGTCCTACGGTGATCTCCGTCTCAAGGTTCGAGTATTGATAAGCAGCGAGTCAAACGAGACGCTAATACAGTAGGTCTGAGGCACACGTCTGCAATGTTCACGACAAGTTCGATGTGCTATCATAATCTTGTAACTGAACTTCCGCTTGCAGCTGCCTCAATTGAATTGTGGTAGCTATTAGGAGAGGAGGGAGCAACACAGCCAACAGGGGACAGCAGAGGGTGTAGCAGTTGCTCATGTCAACGAGAGGTGGCGCACGTGTTGCTTCTTGTATCACTCTGGTCAGAAGCGTCGTAGCATGTGTATGGCACACGTACCGTGTGTGCCTTCATTGCTACATATGCGCTTTCCTTGGTGAAATTTTAAAGCATTTCCATGGCGTGAATAACGATGAGGACGCCTATGAAGCCTGCGTCGAGCAAGCCGGCAAAGATGGAAGACTCTATCTCAGCTTCAACAAACTGAGAGCAAATAGCGTAATGGACTTGATTTCAGTGCTAAAAAAATAATTAACTGACTTTTGTTGGCTTCAAACAACATTCCACAGATTTAACTAACAGTTAGATCAAGTTTTAATCAATGACAAGGCTGCATTTTCTATTGTAAACGCAGGAAACGTGGTATGAGAAAGCAAGTGGCATCAATGAATGTGCTATTTAAAGCTTCGTCGTATTAAGTGTTATTACGCGATTGGACATTTTATTTCCTTTGATTGTTTGAGAACTGCCTCTTGCATTGCATTTATGATGTACAAGAATAAACACATAGTTTTCAAGACTTTGTACGCATCTGCGACAATCGAGATGAAAGAAATGCTCAAAACATGGAACTTTCATTTGACATATGAAAAGTAAGCAACCGTAAAGTCAGTAAAATGATATACCGTCCCTAAAAGCTGCATAGTACTTAAGCGGTCCTTGTAGTGATGATAGTTATAGCGCGAGAACAAAACGACACACCGACAAGAGGGACACGAAGGACACGTCTCTGTGTCGTCGTTTTGTTCTTGCGCTAGAACTATCGTCATGCCATACCAACTAGCTCAAGCTGCCACACTTCTGAGGCCCTTGTAGATTATGTCCCTTCGAAATGAAGAGCCTTTACTCATTCCTGAGCCCATGTTTGAGACGGCACATATAAATTAATGCACACTGTGAATGCGAAGTATGTTGCCCCCTACGTTTGCATGGCAGATAAAAAAATTCCAGGTTAAAACTCTAGATCAACATGATCGGGAGATTCTTAAGCTTCGGCTTCATGAGTTGAACGCGATAGCGATATCCTGTCCCTATTGCATACTTCAACCGCTTATAGTGAATATTTTTTATTGTATGGTCGTATGTGAGAAGTTTAGATTGTAGATTACTACAATGTAAATGTTAAAGCTGGAAGTGCCGTATTTACCCAAATGTAACGTGACCACAATTGTAGCGCAAGGGGTGACTTTTCAGTGCAAAAAAAAAAAAAAGAATACGAATGTAACACTGGTAAAGCAGGTGGAAAAAAGTACATTTATTTGCTGCACATGGTAGTGGCAAAGACAACCCAGTTTCTAAGTGTAAAGAGAGTTTTGTTCATTCCCTGCTTTTATCGCAGGTGGTCGAGCCCTGTTTGTCACTTTCTTTCTCCGTGCCATCTATATAGTTTGATATACAGCACTTTTTAAACGCACAAACTTTCATGTCGTGCTACAGGCCATACCAAGCGGTGGACACCCACTCGGCAACCTTCGCGGCTCTAGGTTGCATTATCCTACCCAAAGGTGTCAAAGCCCGTTTTTTCGCATCCATTCTCCGTACAGCTGCCGTATTCTATACTTAAATGATTTGTTCAGGCAGACGTCTAATGGCTGCAGCACGGACGTCATATCTCCGTGAATGATAACGAGCTGCGTCTGAGTTTCCCACATCAGCTTCTTCACTTTGGCCATCAGGTGACCACGAAATATTTCGAGAACTAGGATGGAGTGCACCTGGTTGTCGACACCACAGTCTTAGCCAGTTAAGCATATGCAGAAGGTCCATCCAACCTTTTTCTTGGCAGCAGACAATCACATTCCTGGGGAACAGCTCCTTCGGGATGGTTTTGCGCCGAAAATTGATGTATAGTGGCAACTTATGCCCATCCGCCAAGCAAACTAGCATCACGGTTAGCTGCATCTCCTCGTTGCCTGTTGTGCTTATGTGAACTTGGGGGGCACCTGTTTTGCTGACAGTCCTTGACATAAGCATGTCCAAGAAAACGGGAGTCGGGTCCGCTTTGCCAATGTGCTCCAACGACATTTGCGACGAGCGGCGCAAACTTCACTAGCTTCGCTTCGCAATCTGCCGGTGGCTTATGCCTTATCGACGTCGTTCCCCGGATGTAAAATCCGTTTCTTCGCATGAACTTTTGTGCCCATCCACGTGAAGCCTTCAGGTTCTCCCACGGTATTCCGATCTCTCGAGCTACATCTTGGGCCTTCCACTGAATCAGCTCAACCTTGACTCCTAGTTGGTGGTTTCGCTGCTCAATCACCAACTCTGCCACTTTTTTTTTTTAGTTCTGTGTGACGGCTGCAGCGAGGTCCAAGGAATCCTTTTTGGCTGGGCTCACTCTTGGAAGAGCGCTCCACGCTGGAGCCTCCACACACGGATAGCAGATTCCGCCACATCTAGCTGTCGAGCCGGGACTGATTTTCCGATTTCCTCTGCTATAAGTATTGCTCTTCTTTTAAAGTAGGCATCGCACTGACCTCGTCAGGCTGCCATTTGTTCGAAAGTCGCAGAAGCACAAAAGCCAAAGTTGTGGAAGCACAAAAGAAATGAACAGCCCGCAAAATATGTCGCGAACAATAAGATTGGATTGGATTGAATTCGATGTTGCCAGCGTGTATATGTTACCAGCACCATGGTTCTATGATCGCTAGGTAGCCATTTGAAGAAACCAGTGGGGCAGCACCGCGAAGACATGATTCGAGGTGCTTCCATTATAACGCGGACCCCTAAATTACTTCAGAGAGATTTT